AAAACTGAGTAGATCTATGTGATTTTCAAGTATTTCTATGAAGTTTTTTTTTCGTCGAAAAAATGGCCCCTGATTCTCGTCAGAAATGTGTTAAAAAATGAGTTCCATCAAAACGCAGGTTTTATTGTTTAATCATCTGCAATTTTGAGTTCTACTATCATTTTACAACCTTGAAATTTCATTCCCAATGTTGAAACTCATATAGATCTATTCAGTTTTGAATGTTGATTTAGAATATCATATTAGTTTTGCTCAGGTCGCACTTTTTCTGATCAAAATCTACTCAATATCAGTGAAAAAAAGCATAAAATCATGTCTCCAGATTAATAATTCTTAGAATTTTTCTTAGAAATCAGTGCTTTTTTTTCTCGATATTTTTATATCGTTTTGTAGCCCTGGAAAAGTACTATCAAACTATATGAAAATTAGCCTGATGAGTCATCAAATCGCTAGATAAAAAAATATTGATTATCATCAACAGTCGAATTCAGTGTACATGTAACAATCATTGACTATTTCAATCGATGTAGGCACAGCACAAACAAGTGCTATATGACTAATTTCACAAAAAAATCATTTTCGAAGACCTTGTATGAGAGTCTGACATAGAAAAAAACCTAATTTCTCAAGGGAGTAAGATTTCATCAATTTATCAACTATTCTTCCTTTATGTATTCATTTTTCTTGGGAATAATATCATTTATCTAATTCGTTTTGTGTATTCATATAATAGTTAAAACATAGTTTTAAATTATTATCGACTAGTTGAATTGAATTGTTGATAAAAAGCTGCAGTAGGTGCTGATCGATATAGAATTGTATTAAGATAATCTTCACGTTCACGCTGTATTTTAGCAAGATTTTTATTTTCATTAGCTAAATAATGATTATATTGACGTTTATCTTCTTCAATTTGTTGTTCAATAATTATTCCTTGTTTAGCTATAGCATTTAAATATTGTTTCCAAGTTTCATCAAAACATTTTTCGTTATTTTTAATTTTCTAAACAAGAAAAAAAAACACTAACATAAAACGGAAAAGCCATATGGAAGAGTATATACTTGACATTCAGAAATTTGTATCAATTGTTGATGACGAATGTCATCTAATTGATCTTGACTCATTCCTTTCCATCGATCAACAATAATATGAGAACGAGCATCAAGTAAATTTTTTGAATTTTCTGTTAACATATCACTAAAAGCAGTATTAGCTATCTCAGCTAATTGTTCTTCTGTCTGTCGTGTTTTTTGTTCATGTGCTCGAATCCTTGCTTCATGAGCCTGTACAAAAAAAAGAACGGAACTTTAAATTTTGTATTATCAAATAATAAAATCTAACAAGTATTTCATTATAATTGCGTGTTGCTAGTTCTATAGCTCGATGACATTCATTTTCAATTTGTTCAAATTTATTACTTCGTTCATACAATTCCATTTGTTTATAATCATATAAAAGATTAGCTAGATATTCTTCTCGATTCTTTTTTGTTTTATTTATAATCTTATAAAATAAATAATTTTATATAATTATTAATTCAAATAAAAATATTACTTGTAAATTAAAATCATTTTTTAATTGTTCTTGTTGAAGTTTTTTCCGTCTAGATGCTTGAAGATCTTCGCCAACAAATATTTGACCGGATGACGGACCTAAACGAGAATCATTATCATTAATTCGTATAGGTGTTAATTGTTTCAATCTATTTGGATCATTTAAATCCCATTCTTTTGCATGTTCAGGTTTTTGATATAATTGACGATAATTATTTAATTCTTGTGCATATTGACGTTTTTGAAAAAGTTCTTCTTGTTCAAGAAGTATTTTTTTAAAATCATTATTTATCATTTCACGATCTAAATAAATAAAAATTTATTTATTTATTTATTTATTTTAAGAGAATTTTGTTTTTGCTTTTACCAAAAGCATCATTTCGTTGTTTTTCTAAATTTTTCATATATTGTCGTTCTTTGACTTGTTCATCAAGACTTGCCTTATCAATCTAGATCATATTTAAATATGATTTTAATATTTATTATAAAAATTTATTTCAACTAACACCAATAGTTCGATATTTAACATTAAAAATGCGAGATAAACGTTTTTTTTCTTCAGATCGACGTCGTTCTATAGCAGCTTGTTCTTTTATATTAATCGGTAAATTAAGAAGAAACATTTTGTTTTGCTTGTATAAATTATCTAGAATAGCAGATCTAGGAAAAAAGATTATCAAGTTAATTCGTCTGCTTGATAGAGTAATGATCTCAATTGTACATGTTGTTTTAATTAGAGTCCTTAGTGACAGAATAAAAATGATATGAACAGCTTAGATTTTTATGTCAGAAAAATGTATATACGTATATGAAGAAGATAAAACTAAATGAAATCCATTTTTTTTTATTCATTAGTATAATTAACTAAATGAATATTTATAGGAACAATAAGCTAAAAAAATCATTTGAATACAAAAACAACTGATTTTTATAGAGTTTCCTTTTACAATTTTTCTTAAATTTAAATAGTGCTCGAATATCTGAATTTATGATAAATGGAACAAACATTTTGTTTTTCAAATTCTTTAAATCATTCGTTATAATTTTTTCTAAAAACCATTTAAATGGAAAACCATGTACATGATGGAAGAAAGTTCGAAATTTTCTCATGTTTTCACTTGATGAATGAATACAAATAGATTTGAGTTTTTTTTTTCTATCAAGAAAATTCGTGCTAATTATTCAGTTCTGTTTTATTAGAAGATTATCCGAAAAAACAAAGATCTATTTTCTTTTTTGTTTAAACAATCGAATGAACTTTCCATGTTCTCAATTGACGTATGTAATAAGTACATATTTCGAGTATTCTTAAATATAACAGCATGAAACATTTCACCCACAGTGTTATGCAATCGAAAAGAATCTTTTATTTATTGAAATATAATCATTTTAAAAATAAAAGAAAATACTTTATCTTGAAACAACAAATTTCGAAGAAGTATAAGATAAATGCCTATGATTGTATCAATATAATATTTTTCTTCTTTTTTCTTGTTTCGGGTTAATTAGCACAAAACAAGAGAAGTTGTAAATGAAAAAAAAATCTGCTAAAATGAATTCAATTGAATTTCTTTTAACTTCTAAATTACATGGTTAATGTTTTTTTTTGTTTAACGGTTTGATCATCTCAGCATGTAGACAACCAAAAGTAAAAAAAAGAATCAATGAATTATAACATGATGATGTAAAAATAAAATCGTTCCATCCTAATATCTTGTTTCTTTTTGATCAGCTATCACAATATTAAAAAGACACATTCATAAAGATATTGTGTGAAAACATGACATGTTTCTTTGCGGTTTAGTCTTCATTTTTCATTCGATTTTTCTTTAATGTTAAAAAGAATGATCATCTAGTGGAATTTTTTTTTTCTTTTGTTTTATTAGTCATTTGTCAGCTTGGTGAACGATGAACATTAATAATGAGATATATAAAGCAGTCAACTCGAGACGACATGTCAGGAAATTAGAATGGAGAGATACTCGATATGGATGAAAAAAAAGAAAAACGATCAATTCAACTTTTCGCTTGTACACTGACCAAGCAGAAAAAAAATAAAAGGCTTCTGATTTTCACTAATGAACATATACGTAGATTTTGTTCGTCATGATGATGATTGTGATATTGTTTGTAGTACAAGAGCATGCGCGCCTGCTTACAATATTATCATAATCAAAAGACCGACTTGTGATCATTGGGCTCCTTCGCTTCGTTGTCTTGTACATATATACACACACACACATATATATATATATATAAAGATAGATAAGGTGAACTGCCTTTTTATTTTTTCTCTTGTCTAATTGCAGACGATGGTAATGCACGAGTGGTAGATGAAACATACTTATATTCACACGCTTACCTTCATATCTTAGGTGATAATCATCAAAAGGAGGTCAGCTAAAGGCGAAATTCTCTTATAAGATCTTTAACTATTTATCAAGAATTATTATCGATTATTTCTTTCGAACATATTATTATTTATTGAATAGTTGAACTTAAATCATAGTCATAAGAAACTGATTTGTTTTTCTTTTTTTCGTGTCACCTAGAGAATTGATTTGTCATTCGTTAATAGTAACAGCTTGCTCACATTTTCACGGGAGGAAAAAAAATGAAACTTGTTCACACCTAAAGCTACTATGAATAGTGTGAGAAAATCAAATTTTCACGACATACGAAAAAAAAAAAACAATCAATTATCAATTGATGACATGAGCACATACATATACAGAAGAAAAAAAAAATTTTTATTTTTCTTCGCTTCATGTATTATTCTCATGACAACTGTATAACTCATCATATTGATTTTTGGTAAGACAATTTGCTTTAAGGCATAAGTTTGCTTTATCAAGTCATTCAATTCATCAGATCATATTCAAGTCGACAAGACATGATGAAATGGAGATGTCAACTATTTTAGATACGGAAATGATTGTATGCAACTTATCATTATCACTGTTGTGATATTGTCTCTTGTTGATGTACATCTTTCGATTGTTGAGAACAATTTGTTCCTCTATTGTTCTCATTTAAACATGCATACATGTATATCTTTATATACATCCGGATGACATATAAACTTCCTACTATATTGAAGCTACATATGTCCTACTGTGA